CAGGAGGCAGCGGAGGCCGCCCCGGTGCCCTCAGCACCGGCCGCCGGGGCCGCTGGGGGAGCGGCAGCCGCCGGGGACACGGCCGGTGGCTGTTTGCGTGGCAGCCGGCAGCTCTGCGAGAGCTCGGGGAAAATACCTAAAACCCCCCAGTTTTCTTCCTTGCAGCTGTAACCGAAGGTTTTCCCAGTGGCGTCGCCTTATGCAGCGGGCCGCCTGGAAGGAACGGCAAGCATTGCTTGGGTTCGAAGTGCAAAACATCACTTTGGCAATAACTGCCTGACTTTAAAAAAAAAGAACGCAGTGATACACCTGTGGGGAATAACCATTCCAGCCTAGCGCTGGAGCAGAAATTAGCTTAATGTTTCACATATTTACCTAGAGTCAAAATAGTCTAGCCCAGGGTTGCTGGCAGCAAAGGCCAAGAACAGTTTTTAATCAAAGGTTTTGTAAAAATACAGTGTTGCCATTAGACCACCGATTTCATGCTAACAAAATGCATGGTTTGTAACTTGTTCTTTCAACACCTTAATGTTGGGGATGAGATGGATGAGATGGTCCTATCTGGGTTGCTGTAATGGAACTTTGTTACACACATCTATATTTAAGGCATTTGATGTTTTTCCCAAAACAAAACACCAGATTCTACAGCTGATGTCTGTACTGGGAATGAGTTTTGTCAAGCCATCCATAAGATCTTTTCCAGGTAATGAATGCCCCAAAAGATCTTTCTGTACAGTTACCTTTTTGAAATGTAGCTTGTTTTATCTAGGGGTCTACATAAAAAATAATAAGTCTCACTGGTAAAAGCGATAGCTCCGTATCAATGTTTCCAGCCTTTAAAATGTCACTAAACAGTTCAAAACAATAATTTTAAAGCATGATAGTTCACAAGAACCATTTTTAGGCTAAATATATATTTTGTTCCCATTAAGACATCTTTTGGCACACAGCAGTTTTAATTGGTTTGGGGAACCTGATGTGAACATGGTATTCACGTAAAAGTTTTTATTAGTAGACCTTCATTTACTGCAAAGCAGGTTCTGTTGATTGGCAGCATGGTTACCAGTGAGCCTCTGTTCCACCAAATACTTTACCTTGAGTGATGCGAACACCTCTACAAAAGAGGACAAACTATTAACTGCATCAGGTTCCTCCTGTTACACCAAGCAAATTACAAGTGAAAGGCTCTGCTAAATAAACAGAGAATCTAATGGGACCACTAAGATCTGCTAAGATACTCCATTTTAGTGAATGTTAATAAAATTGAATATGTAACTTAAGTCTACAGCCCTGAAATCCATTATATTGTTCAGGTAGAGAATCCCTTTGCTTAAGCACAAGTGTTAATATTTCATTTTTAATTAAACAGTCAGATTCTGGTATCAATAGTTTTCCTGTTGTTCATGTCATTTTAGGTATTCCACAGAAATGCGTTTTCATTTCTATCGGAAAGATTTTCTATTAGATGTCATGCATTCATTTAAGGCACAGGCAGTGCCAACGTTAAGCATGCTGAGGACACCCGATTGGTGTGGTGGGGGTGATGTACTTTAACCCAGCAGGCAGCTAAACACCACCCGGCTGTTCGCTCACTCCCCCACAGTGGGACGTGGGAGAGAATTGGAAAAAAAGGTTAACACTCATGGGTTGAGATAAAGACTGTTTAACAGCACAGAAAATGAAGGGAAAATAATAATAATGATAAAGGAATATACAAAACAAGTGATGCACAATGCAGTTGTTCACCACCCACTGACCAACACCCAGCCAGTCCCTCAGCAGCAGGCTGGTACACCACCCCAACACCCCCCCGCCAACTCCCCCCAGTTTCACTGTTCAGCACGAGGTGTGGGACATCCCTCTGGGCAGTTGGGGCCAGCTGTCCCAGATGCTGTGTCTCCTCCCAGCTCCTTGGCAACCTGAGCCTCCTCACTGGCAGGGCCCTAGGAGAAGCTGAAAAGTCCTTGTCCTAGCATAGGCACTGCTCAGCAACAGCTAAAACATCAGTGTTATCAAGCCTCAATCCACTATACCAGCTACTAGGAAGAAAATTAACTATCCCAGCCAAAACCAGGACAGGTGTAGAGCTTTAGCAAAGATACATCAGAAATATTAATTACAATGATTCACAATTAAAGTAGGCATAACTAACTTTTCAGCTGCATATTTTAGTAATAGCTATTCATATTAATCATTCCTGTGGAGTGTGTACCAAGACTACATTTATTACAGGGTTTTTCTGAGTACACCCCAATATTCAGGAAGTTATGCACACCTACAAAATTTACCATCCTCTCATCCCTGTGTTTGTGAGCAGTTACCCCAACTGTTTGAATAACCAGTGTATCAGCTGGAAATCTGATAGGAAAAAGCAAGCAGCTAGAACACTCATGGGACTACAGCCCTCACCCAAATTGTACAAACAGCTCAGCTGAATCAAGGTTTTATTGCAAGGTCTAGAAACTACATGTAGAATTTAATCTGCAACAAACACCTCTGCTATAATTCTTTCAGGGTGTTACCGACTAGGGTGAATGTTGTGGGTTCACACTGGCTGGATGCCGGGTCCCACCAAAGCCACTCTGCCACTCCCCCACCTCAACTGGGCAAGGGAGAGAAAATATAATAAAAGGCTTGTGAGTCAAGATAAGGGCAGGAAGATCACTCTGCGAATACAATCACAGGCAAAACGGACTGGACTTGGGGAAATTAGCTTAATTTATTACCAATCAAATCAGAGTAGGATAATGAGAAATAAATTCTTATCTCCCTGTCAGTGTGAAGCCCACAAACACACACGCAATAGGTGCTGCTTAAGCTCTGGTATCGTGCTTGTGAAGCAAAGCTGTGCTGTGCCAGGGCGCTCACTGCAGGTTCAGGGTGTCCTAGTTTATGGCAAGCTAGCCACTGAGCACTCACTGGAATGTCTCTCACATTCATTTCCCCTGACAGACAACTAAAGTTTCAAACTATTCCTAGTAGAATTGAGAACCAGTACAGTGATCCTTGCGGGCAGAACTTAACACCAGAGCAAGAACTAGCCCTGCTGTACTTCATTATGCTGCTGCTACTCAGCAGAGTATCTTTCCTTCTACTTAAAAAAATGAAAACAAGATGTCAGCATTTCATTTTCCAGCAAGAGAAAGTACACTACCAATAGTGTTACCAGGTATTTCTGTAGAGCTGGAGGGATTCTGCTGGGTAGTTATCACTCTCTTGCTCCATACTCCTCCCATCCATGTATTCTAGACTTTTGCTGTGCTTGAACATGGAAAAACCTCACTGCTATGTCCAGGTCTATTATAGCTGCCATTTGACCTTTCTGTTCATATTTCTACCTTCTTCACTTTCCCATGTGAATTGCCCAAGAGCTTCTCACATGTGACGCCACACAAAATTCCATCTAATTTCATTTTTTCTTCTCTCTCAGGCTTGCTCCTGCAGAAAGAACAATGGAGAAAATGCTTCTATACACAAATGACATTATAATAAAGTGTCTTCAGAGTCCTTATAAATAAGGTTTATTTCACCCAACATGTTCCCTACTTGCCACTCAGCTCACTTGAGGGAACAAAAAGAAAAAATATTACCATTTCACCCTTACCCTGTCAGATAAATTGTAAGTCTTATTTTATTACACTACTGTTTCTCAGCTTCAACATCAAATTAGCAACATAACCCTTCTCAGAAAAAAAGGAACAAACAGGAATCAATGGACAATCTCATATCACACTACTAGTGGGCAATTAGTGAAGAGAAACAGAAGGATGAACATGATGATACTTTCACTAGGTAAACAAAGTTTATCTGTAAAATAGATTTATTGCTAAACGTAGTCCAAAGCATCAATAAAAATTGTGTGTGCCATTTGGTCTTTCATTCATTAAGCACACTGATCTTTGAAAACATGACTCTGACTAATGAGCTGTGTTAAGTGGCTCTTGGATCCTTATTTTGTTGCTGTTCTAGTGAAAGATCTGGACTCACAGAAGCTGATGAAAGAAATAAAAGCTTCAGTGCTTCTGCACTCAAATATCAGCTTCTCAACCTAATCTCTAGGACAATTCTCAATTTATTTACTTCAAAATTACAAGCATCACAAAATCCTTTTTAAGAGCTTGCCTGAAGTAGATTTTGTCATCACAAATGGAAGAAGGATCAAGGATGCAGAGTTCCCAGTTAGGGAACTTCACTACACTCATCAAGAGTATTCTGAAGAGTACCAATAAAAAGACTGCACCACTTCCAACCACTCAAGTATTTAACTCAAATAATGCATTACTTACTTGTTCTAAGAAAGCAGACGGCATGTCAAAAGATGCAGAAACAACTGTTTCAGCTTTTCTTGGAACTTTCACTGAAAAGATTTGTGGTTAAGTTTTACCAATTTAACTAGGTCCATCCAGGTATTGAAAAAGAAGTGAAATTATTCTATCTAATGAATCTTTCAAAATTGGTGACAAAATACAGCTTTCTTCCAAAAACAGGTGCGTGTATTAATTTCAAGATTGAGCATCAACAATGGTTCTTACAACCAACCATAGAATTCATTGTAGAATAGGCACCCTTTTTTTCAAAAGGTTTCAAGACACTTAATCTATTTGGCTTAATAAGATTTACTTTTTTAAAAGAAATCTTTTGTTGCTAGGCAGAACAGAAAAGTAATTTAAAAATAAGGTGAATCCAGCAGACACCCAGAGAAGCAGCTCCATCACCGCACAAACCAACATGTTTTAATATCAAGACTTCTTAATTCAGAAACTTGTTGAGGACTTTACGCAGTTTGGCAGCAAATAAACAGCTCCTGTAGGCTAAGGAGGCAGCTTGGGTTAACACAGTACTAGTCGATTTGCCTAACTGAAAGGCAAGTTACATTTTCTTTCACTTCAGTGTGAGTTTTCCTTCAGCAGCAATAGTCGTAGCTTGACTTCACCTTTGTACCATAGTACATGGAAGAACTATTCAGCTTGTATTTTTGGCAGCGCTCCTCTTCAAAAATCACTCAGCACGCATTGATTGTACTCAACAAAAATCAAGGCAAAGCTTTGTAAATCCCTGGAAATGTTCCATTCTGAATTTCTAAAGCCACTTGCTTTGGGTAAGATGAACAAATTGTCTTACAACAGTCTACGCTGTACATACACACAGTTGGCAGGAAGGATTTTTAATCTTCTCAGTGGAGGATGGTAGCCTCATCATTTTAGCTCCAATAAAAATACTAGAACTCCAGTTATTACTTGATAGGCAATTTCCAATTTCAAGCCACACCTGTTTAAAATTTCTTTTGACAATTCACTTAAGCTGTGTTATCACAACACTACTAAGAGTAATGGAAAAAGTCATTTGGTGTTTTGCAGGGAGGGAAAAAAAAAAAAGCAAAAAGATATGAAAGAGAAACTGCTAAACACATAGAAATAAATGCAACTCAACACAAGGTAGGGAATGTAGCAGCCATGAATACGCAAAACTCCACACACACTGATTCCTCATTACTTAATCATGACAAAACTATGCCCAAAGACTTGCCACAATAGTTTTCTCTTAGAGGTCAAAAACTAAGTTAAGTTCTGAGTGATCATTTATTATATTTATTTTTTCCCATATTGTTTGTCTTACTCGGAATAAGTATGTATGTATTAGGTGCATTTATTTTTTCACTATTTAACCAACCACTGGTGATGGGAAGGAAGTGTTCTGTCAACTTTCAGCTGAGTGTCCCTATTGAGTGCAGCCATCCAGCTACAGTGCAGCTCACTTCTCCGAGTTTTTGCGAGCATTAATTAGCTTCTGTCGCATCGCCTTGTTTCTGGCCCTGTTTTCTTCATACTGGAAGACAGATAAGGAAATTAATAGATCAGCTGTTATCATTAAACAGATAAATCAAATTTAAAAGTGTAGAGAGCATTTATTACTCAGGAACAGAAACAATCTCTTTGACTGATGGATTAGAAATGCAGTTCTTGTTAATATCTATGTATCAGTTCATTTTTACTTTGAAATTAACATTTATTTGATTAAAATACACGTTTCGAAGTTCGAGGTTATTAAGCTAAAGAGCATTAAAACATTCTAATAAAGAAGATTCAGTTAATCTTATGGAGGAACTTAATTATACAGCCATCTGATGTATGACAGCCACACTTCACACATGAACTAGGGAAAAAGTTGCACTGGTGCTATTCTAGAGCACAGGTCAGGCTCGTTTCCTTCTAAAAGATACTGATTAATATAAGTGTGTCTGCCTTCCAAAACATGAATTTGTCATCACAGACTTGGTCTATTTTTGATTCTAGTCATTAATTATGTGCACAAATAAAGTATATCAGGATGAAAGGAACAAAGGCAAATTGAGGTTAAGGTGTTTTGGGTGGTTTTATGGTTTAAAAAAGAAACCCAACAGAGACAGGACTCCAGTGTAAAATGGAACCAAGAAAGCCTTCACAGTTCAGGTGCAGGCATAAGATGACCATGCTTTCGAGTATGCCCCTGCACTATCAAAAATCCTGAAGAGGCTAACTTTCTTTCTCTGCAGCCAAAAAGGAAACCTTTTCATGGCTAAAAGAAATGAAAAATTAAAAATCAATGCATGATTTGACATATATTTTGTGAGAAGCAAATTATTCTTGGCCTTAATTTAGAGCATGTATTTGTTCAATTTTTTAATAATTGGTATCAAGAATAAAACCCAAGTAACCCACAAATACTCAGTTTTCTATATAATGTAATAAACTACTAAGGAGATTGATTTTGGAAAGGATTTGCAGTTTTCCACTCATTATACTGATTGGTTTATAACTGAAATAATGGCCCAAAATATTACTTAACATTTACAAAATGCTTAACTTTTTCCCATGCCAATATTTAATTTTTCAATAACCCATCCAGGTTTTTATGTAGAATGAGAACAATGGATCTTTAAAAGCTACATCTGTACCTATGCTATACTTGTGAACAGCCTTTCGGGGACTTCCTCGTAATGGCATATCAATGTAGCAATATTTTAAGAAGGCAGACAAATATAGCCATCAAGAACTCTTTTTAATGTAAAGGCTTCAACTTCACTGGAACAAAGAAAAATAAGATTACATGGAAAGTAACTTTACTTCATTATTTTCCTGACCTGTGCTACAGTTTTTCAGGAAGAGAAAAAAAAAAAAAAGTATTTGACACAAGCAGATGAAATTAATTACCACACACTGACAGAGGGAAAAGAGAGGGCCCAAACTCTTCTGGCTATCCTGCACCTGAAGTTTCCCATTTTAGGGATTTATGATACCTATTATATATAATAACAGACTGTGAAATCTATGTCAAAATTAATAAGTACAATCTCAAGCTAAAAGGTGTGTGAAAAAATCATTTATGTGTTCTGTCATGTAGGCATGACAACCACAAATATAAAGATCGTTGATACTCTCCTGAAAATGTGCCCATTAGCTAGTAAATCTACTGAAACTCCTAGAGTCTTCCATTCCTTCCTATCTGCAGGAGTAGTACAGCAATGAGTAGGTCCTAAGCAGCAGTATTTTCATTTAGGGCCTAACTCAGCAACTCATCAAGTAGTTTAATTCAGTATAACTGACCTCAGTAATAAGTGTTACTCATGCAGAAGTAATCATTACTGCTTTATATTCTATTTGTGTGAATACCACTACAACAACAACAACAAAATAAATCAAGAAGAAACAGAAGAAATCTGTGGTCAGTTCCTATTTGTAATATTTGTTTGGTTAAAATGTGTGTTTGCCTATTTTTGTATATCCAAAAAGAGACCATGCCATTTGTTAAATTCAATTTTACCTGACAAATTTATCAAAAAAAGTTTATATATGGTCTCAAATGCCGACTCCAGAACATGCTTACATTTCAAGGCCTGTTTATTGATTTGCACTACTTAGTAAAAAGCCACTCTATTTCTATCCCATGGACTTCTTTTTTTGTTAAGCATTTAACTCATAGTAAATTTGTTCCTTACCTCTTTCTTTAAACACTTCCGCATCTCACGGTCAATATCATTGCAACGGCCAAAGAATTTCAAAATGTTGTGCTATCAGTTAGGGAGAAAAAAAGAAAATGTTCAATTCAAAAGTTTCTTCCTCTGAAGTTCTAAATTTCTTAGAAGTCACTTGCCTTCTGCAACATATCCCGGTCTTCTTTCCTCTTTCTCTTTTTGTGAAAAATTATGCTTTGTAACCTTTTTACTTAGTAGCTACAAGTTAGAGTTACTCCTGAACCTCATTTGAGCCACCACCCACCTTGCTGAAAGTTGAAGGTAATCATTGTATTGTATAACCAGACTAAAATAGGATACCTAAGCTGAAGCTATGAAGTCTAAATGTAGAACATACATTTTATTGATCTAGGAGTCAGTCTTACAACGTCCAGTTACACCAGCTTGAATAACGTACAAAAAATAAATATTCTGAACTCCAGTTTGTGATACAGAAAGACTTAGGGAGACCTACAGGCACCCTGGAGGCAATATCCTCTATGCTTTAGTTTTCACTATATCTTCGTGGCCTAGAGAGGCAAATCATCCATCACCCCATCACCCCAATCACATTCGGTACAGAAGATGCAGGCACTAGGTTTAAATGACTGAAACGTTAGAAACAGTATAAAAAACTTGGGATTAAGTTTCTCCAGATCTTGAGGTTAATAGATAAGATGCATTTACCATCTTTATAACACAGGCCAATTGTGGGCTTTATGCATACTGAAGTGTTACTTAGTTTCTGAAAAACTGTAGGCATTGTCCTCATGAGGGCATTCCCCAGCTAAGCTGATGAGATTCACCGTAAAAATCTGTCCTCTTAGCCAGGATTTCCTAAAGCGATTTCATATTATCAGCCAATCAATCACTACCAAAATACACAATTCTACAAGGACTACTTTTTCAGAGTGACGCTTGCTACCATGCCACAGAATCTGGTAGCAGAGCATCCAAGTGTCAAGCAATTCAGAGGACCTGGAGGAGTGGAGGTTTTAGCAGCTATACAATCAATAGAGATAATTTGACCAATCTTTTAGAGAACTAATTATTTTTATCAAAAAAGACCATGAAGAACAAGACATGAGAATGAAGTCACTTCTGTGTTTCAGAGGGAAACCCAAGTGCATTTCTGTAGTTGACAAGCAGCTAGATGGATTTATACAAGTAATACAGGAACACTCTTCAGAATTCAAACAGTGGACAAGATTTTAACCAACAGAACATGACTGAAAATAGAAGTGGGTTTATAGAGATTATGACAAACTGTAGCAGTGCTATAATTAGCTTGTTTATACCTCTCTGCTTTATAAAGGGCATCAGATGACACTCTGAAGCAGTTGCGTGTGATAAATGGTCGCTTTACCGCGAGCTGATATTGCTTTTACATTTTCATTTTAGCTAATACAGATTTCTTTTTGTATTCTGTTCCCATATCTGCATGTTAAATTTCAAGGTGAGTGCTCATGTTTCAAGCTAACTCCACTCTTACTAGTGCATACAGTGAGTTGCATCTACATTTATTTAGCCAGATTCCTAAACTGGCAACTTTTTAGCTCAGATTATGAGGAAAAAAGAATCAGTTTCTCAAAAAGTTATTATGTCTATTGCAGTGATACAATTGCAAGATAATATGCATTCCTTTCAGCTGGCACCTGTAAAAATAAGTCTCTTTAAAGCACACACTTGGTACCAGACTGGAGTTGTTAAAAAAAAAAAAAAAAAAAAACCTCTCCTCAGTAGATGCAAAACTTGATATAATGGGCAGGTTCTAGATTAGGAATAAAGTAAATCAAACTGACTTTTATGAAAATGCACACACAGGACACCCAATTAAAAAATAATGCTTTTCATCCCTCAGGAGTATTAATTTGAATTGTAGATGAAGGTTCTTAGGACATATTGGCATTATAACAAAACAGCAGTTAGTCACTGATAAATGACTAAGATCACTGACTTTTCAGATTACAGTGACTTCAATCTTAAAAGAATATTTCAATACATTTGCCTTGAATTTTAAACAAAAAGCCTTGCTCCCTTAAATGAGTGTGAAAGAAGCCATCTTCACCCCTTCTCTTCTGAAACTGTTAGCAAAAATACCTTCTCATAGTTGAGCAAAAGACTGACAAATGTAATTCCTCTTTATGTAAAGATCAACTTCAAACAAAACCAAGAGAATATAATCCTGTGTATGTCTGTATTATTGCTGTTCCTAGTCCCTTCATAAATCAAACTGGCAATAAATTCCTTTGAATCACTTGCTGCCAAGGAATTCAAGTACATCTTCTAGTTCCAGTTCCCTCTTAAACTCAAGACAGTCTAATAAGCTACATTATAAAAAAACCCCATGATACTTGTACATTAACATTCATTTTTATAAAAACAAAACAAAACACCAGTCAACAATTACTTTCAAGTAGCAAATGAGTATTTCTGGATTCTCTAGTCAAAGCATAGAAAGCCCAACTATGTAAGTACCAAAAAGTAGGACAAATCTGAGTATTTTCTTTCCTGATTGGATTTGTTTTCACAATTATGAAAAATTAATGGCAACATTTTAATTTTATATTGCCTATAGAAGTTTTATTCTCCTCTTAACTGAGAGTAATTTTATTTAGCAATCCTTTTGATACTAGAGTAGTTAATGTACAAGAATAAGTCTTCTTACTTAATTCTAGGTAATGAACACATTTAGCTACATTAAAACATTAAAGCTGTTTCAAAAAAAAAAAGTTAACAAAAAAAAGAAAAAACTAAAGTCTCTCCAATCATTCAGATTACCAAAAGCATTTTTCAGCAAATTAAAGGTTTTGAACTCAGGAGAAAAATATCATTCTTACACTTAAGGTAACTTCTAGTTTTAAAGCTCAAGGATGTTCTGTACAAGAACTTCGTACCTTACATTTAAAAAAATGTACACAGTGCACAGGAACAGACAGGAAGTACTACCTATGAGATGGCAGAACAGATTCCATGCTTACATTTCAAGATACTGCACTACAAGTGCCACCAAAAAATGATTAAATGGTGCTAACAAACCCAGTACAGTATAATCATTGCAAGTGAACTTAAGTATTAGAACTCTGATGCCTTCATTGTTGTAATTTAGAAATCATAAGAAAGTGTGGTACTGCAAATGTTTTTATATGTTAGTATAGCTACTTTAAAATCTGCAAAAATGTTATCCCTCTTTCATGCAAAACATCTCTCATATTTCGTGTATTATCAACCCTGTTTTTCTGTAATGACTTTTGCAAAGAAAAATTTAGAATTCTGCTCAAAACAGTAAAGCTAACATATGCATTGTCTTAGAATTTATGGATAACTGCATTACAAAAAAGTATAAACAACACACCTGAATTTGGAGGTGAAAATGTTGTAGATTCCATGTAATGGTGTAAACCATTGTTTTCACACTCATATTCAACATTTAAATATATTTTTGCCTCAGTGGAAGCTATGAAATTCAACTTTTTATGCACTAATACAGAAATATATCTCTATAGAACATCTATTGAGTATACAAGAGAGCTGGGAAAATAATTAACAATATTGCAGCAATGCTGCAGCTAGCTTTCATTGCAGTAGCTGACTTATACACCTACAGGTTTGCTACAGAGTAAATTTTTTAAAAAAAAGGCTTTTAAATGAGTGAGATGATTCTATCTTCTTGATCTTCTTGAAGCAATGAAGAGCCTTGAGAAGCCTGAAGACAATCTGGCATTTTACATCCTTGGGTAGGTGCCTATTAAGAAGATGGAAGTCAAACAGTAATTCACATTTAGCTCTCCAAGCACTGAATGCAAGGCATGCTGCGTGTCTGGATCCCCATCAACACATCTGCTTATAAATAGCCTAAAGCATCTGCCCAGTGGACAGCTGGAAGATGGAAATGCTGTGAGCATACAAAAAGAGAGCATTTGAAGTTGCTTTTATTATTGTTTTTTGAGGGGCACACAGTACTAGAAGGTGCAGAAGTTCTTTCAGTTCTTAAAACAGGTCCATACTTGTCAAGCTGTAGCACAGGAAATTTTAAGACATGTTTTATTTCCTAAAGAAATCACTGGCAAGATTTACACACAGTCGTCAGATACCTCTTCGTTGAAAACGTACTAGCTATGTTTCATGGGTGTTCTGCCTAGAGGAGGTTTTTCTCTTTATGATCTTATAATATTCTCACTAATTTATCTGACATTCATTTTCCCAACCCACCCACTCTTTTCTCTGCTCAAAACTCCTTACCTCCTTGTGACACTTCTTGAGCAGACTGATAACTAGGTTACATTCTTCAGTGTGCAGATGAGGAGACAGGTCTGGATGCATCTTTAGTTAGGGATAATTTTAGTAGTACGAGGACAAGAATCTGAGAAAACTTCCACCTGCCAACATTAAAATATGAAACTATAACTAGAAAGTTTGAGTTAACCACTGAAGACATTATCACACAGTATTACTTTAACAAAAAACATTTTAGATCAAAATGCAACTTTAACTGTGTAATATAAATTATACATATAGCACATGTCTGTTGTTCTACACAGCTCAAATGTTAAAAGTTATCTAGAAGTTTATATTCTTTGATGTCATGAACATAAGCATGCATTTGGGATTTTAATTTTCAGGGGCTCCCTAGTAGCATTCATCTTTCTTGAACTGCAGATTATCTTTTCATTTCCCTATATCAGTTTTCTTCTTTCTAGCTTTAATAAAGCTAAGTATATGTCATTGTCTTTCTATCTTCTACAAAGATGGATCAGAACAGGAAGCACAATGATATTTCATTACAGCACTCAGAGAACTGGCATCTTTTTTAGTTTTCGACGTGCTTTTTAAAAAATCCTGATCCAAAGTGCTAATGCTGCTTTAAAATCCAGTACTTAATCACTTAATCAAAACAGTAATGAGTGTTCTTAATTATGCCAAATTGGAATGTCCTTTCTTGCAACTTCATATTGCTGTCTCTTGCCCTTTCACTGCGCTCTACTGAAAAGCATCTGGATCTGTCTTCTATATAAATCCCACACTCCTTCAGATAGTGGAAGACAGCATTTAAGTTTCCCTCGAGTCTTCTCCTCTGAATGCCAAAGCAGCCCATCTCCCTTAATCTTGCCGCATGTGCCAGCTGTTCCACCCTCCTGACCCTCTTAGTTTCCTTTCTGCTAGACTCAGGGTTTTTTTTATCATCTCTGTTAGACTGCGGGACCCTAAGATGAACACAGGATTTCAGATGTGGCCTCAAGACTGACAAGAAGAGGGGAATAATAATGACTTCCCTTGCCTTGCTAGCTACCCTTGTAACACAGCCCAGTATGCTGGTAGCCTTTGTTGCCACAAGGGTGCACTGCTAAATCATGTTTCAACTTCATGTCAACCAAGACCCCCAGGGCCTTTTCTGCAGGGTGCTGTGGGGCAGGAGAAAACTTAACTTTAGAAATAAATGTTTATATTACCTCCCATTTAAATATATATATATATATATATATATATATAAACAGC